TATAGTTATGTCCTCCTGGTATATTGACCCTTTAATCATTATATAGTGTCCTTCCTTATCCTTTGTGGTGGATTTTACTTTAAAGTCTATTTTGTCAGAGGTTAATATTGCCACTCCTGCTCTTTTTTGAGTGTTGTTTGCTTGAGATATTTTTTCCATCCTTTGAGTTTTTGTTTATTTGTGTCTTTAAGTCTAAGACGTGTGTCTTGTAGGCAGCATATAGACGGATCATGTTTTTTTACCCAATCTGCCACTGTCTGTCTCCTTATTGGTTCATTTAGTCTGTTTACATTCAGCGTAATTATTGATAGGTATGAGTTTAGTGCCATCATTTGGATGTCTTTTTGTGTGTGTTGTTGACAGTTTCTTTATTCCACTTAATTTTCCGTGCTGAGTCATTTTTCTTTATGTATTTTCTTTTCATCTTTTTCATTGTTGTGGATTTTGTGTTTGCTGAGTCTTTATATTTTTCTTGTTTTTTATTTTGATGTGTTGGATTGTTCATTTCCTTTGTGGTTACCTTAATACCCACCCCTGTTTTTCTGAGTTTAAACCAGCTTTTATTTCTGTATATCGCCTTGACTTCCTCTCCGCGTGAAAAATTTGTGACTACATTTTTTAGTCCCTCTTTTTTGTTTTAATGTTGTCATCTTTTTCACATTGACATCTCTGTTTCCCTATTTTCAGTGTTTTAGCTTTGATTTATTTTTTGTGATTTCCCTGTCTATGTTGATACCTGGTTGCTTTGTGCCGTGTTCTAGTCTTGGTTTGTTATCTGATGTTATTGGTTTTCTAACTGGAAGGCTCCCTTTAGTATTTCTTGTAATTTTGGTTGGTTTTTGCAGATTCCCTAAGCTTCTGTTTATCTGGAAATGCCCTAATTTTGCCATCATATTTGAGAGACAGTTTTGCTGAGTATATAATTCTTGGCTGGAAATTTTTTTCCTTCAAGGCTTTCTGTATGTCTTCCTATTGCCTTCTTGCCTGCATGGTTTCTGTTGAGTAGTCTGAGCTTAGTCTTATTGACTCTCCTTTGTAGATGACTTTTTGTTTATCTCTAGCTGCTCTTAAAATTCTCTTTTTATCTTTGGTTTTGGCAAGTTTGATTATAATATGTCTTGGTGACTGTCTTCTGGGATCTACCTTGTGTGGGGTTTGATGCGCATCTTGGATAGATATCTTCTCATCTTTCATGATATCAGGGAAGTTTTCTGCTAAGAAATCTTCAACAATTCTTTCTGTATTTTCTGTTATCCCCCCTGTTCTGGTACTCCAAATCACTTGTAGGTTATTCCTCTTGATAGAGTCCCACATAATTCTTAGGGTTTCTTCATTTTTTAAAATCCTTTTATCTGATTTTTCCTCAAAAAAGTTGGTGTCAAGTGCTTTATCTTCAGTCTCACTAATCCTGACTTCCATTGCCTCAATTCTGCTCCTATGACTTTCTATTGAGTTGTTTAATTCTGAAATTTTATTGTTAATCTTCTGGATTTCTGATTGCTGTCTCTCTATAGATTCTTGCAGCCTGTTAAATTTGTCATTATGTTCATCTCTAATCTTTTTAATTTCCAGTATTGCTTGATCTGCGTTTTGCCTAATTTCCTTCCTGATCTCTTGAAGAGTTCTGTATGTTAATCTTTTGTATTCTGCCTCTGGTAATTCCAAGAAATTCTCTTCCTCTTGAAAATGTGATTATTTTGGGAGCTTTCTGAAGCCATCATGGTCTGCCTCTTTATGTTATTTGATATTGACTGTTGTCTCTGAGCCATCAATAAGTTATTAAATTTATTTTATGTTTGCTTACTGTGTCCTAGCTTCTTGTTTTTGTTTTGTTTTGATATGCCCAAATAGGCTGCTTGTGTGAGCTGATCACCGGCGCTTCTGAAGCTCCAGCGTCGTACTACCAGGTGGCCAGACCTGCCACTAAGTATGTGAGCCCAGGAGTACGCCCACTCCTTCTGTATGGATTCAGCTCAGGTGTCCAGGTAGTTGGCCACCAAGTGTGTGGTGCAGGCTTTCACAGTCCTAGACAAGCATGGGTGATTGGTGTAGGCACAGGCATCCAGTTGCAGCAGGGGTCACACGCTGAACAAGGCAGGGGGCCAATGGCCGCCCCCGAGTGTCCAGGAGGAAAGCATGTCCCTGTTCCTTAGAGTGCGTAGGTGGGCGGGTTTTGCAGCTGGACTATGAGCACCCAGTGCTTTTGGCTGTAAGGACGGGGGGGCACTACTTATTCTTGGGCCCCTGTTGCAGGTGGCTAAGTGGTGTGGGTGGGGCACCAGTCCTCAGGCCCCTTATGTGGGTAGGTTAAGACCCTGCTTAATGGGCAAAGCTGTGTCAAATGTCACAAACTTGCCACTTCTTAGCTGAAACAGTTGAAGTTAGACTGCAGGTATATACCTTGTTGTACTGTGGTAATGAGGGCCTACACTGTTGAAATGGGCCCACACAAGTGTCTGCAGGGAGAAAGGCACTCAAAGTCCGTGGACCACATATGCCTGTTCCTAGGCAAAGGAGCTGTGCCTACAATGAGTTCCTGGCTTAGGGGAGCTGGCAGATTATTTTTTTTTCCCTTTTGTTAATTTGTTCTCTCTTAAAGGCTGGGAGAATGGCTCAGGGTGCATGATGGGTCCTACATCCGGCCCAGGGGACTTGGCAATTGCTGAAGCCAGTCCAGGACCCAGTGCAGAGCAGGGAGTGGGGAGGTAAATGGGAGAGAGGTTTTTCCCTAAGAGGGGTATTTTCGATCCATGGGGTAGGCCAGATGCAAGTACTTGTCTTTTGCCAATCGAGGGCTGCTTCTCACTGGTTCAGGGTGGCCCAATAAACTCTG